AGTAGTAGTACTAGTAGTAGTAGCAAAAGAAGAAGTAGTAGTAGTAGCAGCAGCAGCAGCCGCAGCAGCAGGAGTAGTAGTGGTAGCCGTCGTAGTAGTAGTAGTAGTAGTAGTAGTAGTAGTAGTAGTGGTAGTAGTGGTAGTGGCAGTGGCAGTGGTCTTGCTCTTCGCCGTGTCCCTGTTATTGTGATTGCTTTTGTTTGCGTTTTGCTACAATGATTGTTGCTACTGCTTGTTGCTATGATTATACACTGTGTCTGGGTGAAACCAGTTCTGTGAAACAGCGAATTAAACCTCCACCGCGCGGTTGCCCTCAGACTCCCAGCTCCCTGGCAAAGAAAAGGTGGGAGATAATAAGGTTTTGTGGAAATTCAGGTTCAGGCCTACGAACCATCAGAATTTCACAATCCCGGCAAAGTGAAGAAGCCCACGTCAAATTACTATGACCTCATCTTATGCCTGCTGGAAGTAGAGGACGAAAGAGTGCGTGGCTATGTCCGAGTAACACTTGGGACAACAAGGGCCCGGGCATCGTGTAGTAACCCAAACCCCCGAAGCGTCAAACCCTGAACCCCAAGCCCCAAGCCCTAAAAACCCTAAAGTGATCTTCACCAGAGCTGAGGCCCTCATTCTGTGAGGCCGAGCCTCTTCTTTAGGCATTGGGAGTGTCCGAACGTGAGGAAACCTAAGCATGGAGCCCAAAGGCTTCAAGGAATAGGACCCTTGGTGGAAGCAAGAGACACCTATCCTTGCAGGTTCCAAGATGCCAAAAACACATCCGCTTGCAAAGGACACTGGTATATCGCAGCACCTCCCCAGCAGCGACACGGTCGTAAGCTCATCCCACGAAACGGACTGGTGCACCTGTGCCGGTGTGGAAGGTTCAGGGCGGAACCAACTAACAGTTGTGAGTTTGCAGGGGGCAGGCGAGTGGGAGCGAAAGGGCGGAGCCCCATGTTCGTAACACAAATTATGGCTCCGCTGTAATTGGTAGCAGGGGCTCGAATTGGTGTGGTTTGATGTGTTCTGAAGCGACACAAAGCCCCGAGGAAAAAAAACTCAAGTCCTCCCAGTATATTGAATTCCCACTTCAACTCAAGTCATAGATGAATCGACAACCCGTGCCTCGGGTTGGCTCTTTTCCTGGCAGCGGTGTGCCGGTGTGCAACTTCAAGGCTCTTGGAGTATGGTTGTTGTGCCAGGTCAAGCCATGTCCGGACAGCTGGAAGCGCAGCCTCTGCAATAGAACACTGCAGCCCCTCCCGGCACCCCCGGGTTTGTCAGAACGGACTTGGCCAAAAAGAGGAAGCACTGAACTTCTGCATATGAACCATGAGCTCAGCAACACCTCAAATCCCGCCTTCGCCTTGGGTGCAGTGGGTGCGGCCACCAAACCAGGTGCAGCCTCCAACACCCACACGGTCAAAGGTTGGGATCCGTGCTTGTATGCGGCTGCGTGCTAGTTCCCCGTGTGAAATACTTACACAGGGTGCGTAGTTTTCGCTGGCGTCCTATTACTTTCTCAGGGTCCGTGGGCCGTGCTCCCCGGAGACCTGGATTCACGGTGACTTAAATTTCAAAATACATGGACTACCTCTCTCTGCCTCCAAACCTTGAATCGCAGCAGCGGCTGGGGTAATAAAGGATTTGGGGTGTCCTTTGGATTTCCACGAGTTAATCGGGGGCTCCGTGGTCACTCCTGTGAATACATAGGGGGAGAAAAGCATTCTCGCCTTGGTCCTGGGTCCGCCAATACTTGGGGAAACATTTCGGCTGCGGCCTGCTGGTCTCCTGGTGATCTCCTGGTTGTCATGGTCGTCTTGGTCGCAGAGGTGGCTCTGGTGGTCCTAATTACTGGTCCTCGTCGTCATCTTTTTGTTGACATCTAAAACTCTAAACCCAATACTATATTGACTCAAACAAACTCCAAATCCGAAACAGGGACGAAAGCAGGAAGGACAAAGCCGCACCTGGGCCTGGACCGCCGGAATCTTTCGGGAGAGGTTTCCGAGGAGCTTCGGCACGCTCCTCGGATCCAGCAGCGAGAAAACAGGCAGATGGGCAGAAGGACCTTTCAGGGTTAAGGGTTAATATAATATAGTAGGATGTAGTAGAATATGGTAGACCTTTCAGGGTTCAGGGTTACAGAACCAGTGTGTTGGGTTTCGACTCACGCACTCGCAACTGCAGGCATGTTGGGTTTAGGGTTTGCACTCTCGCAACTCGGACAAGCCGGGCGAG